CTGCTTGCCCAGACCCGCGGAGAAAGCGCCGGCAACACCGGGGATGGTGTCCGGGATGCGGGGAGGAGTGACCCCGAGGGATCCCGAGAGCGGCTGGGGCTGCGGTGGAGGCAGAGAGAGCAGCGGGGTCTGCGGGCTGAGTCCCCCTGGGAGCCTCCCCGCATCTCCCCCGCCCACCGGGGATGCTTAAAACCGCGCAAAGTGGGCAGGATTCAAGATCAAAGTCAAGTTTTCAGTTGAAATGTCTTAATTTGACTCAACTTAATGAAAATGTAAATTGATAATCTCGCTTGAAATCTCTGCTCAGTTCATTCAATGACAGTCTCAGCTTTCCCTTTCTTTCCTCTAAATCGACTTTAAAACTTTTTCTACTTGGAGCAATTAAAATTTCTTGCCATAAATAAGCCCGAGCACTGTCTAATTTCGCTTCAGCATTCATGTGGCACATTTGCCATTATCTGCAGATTTTTAGGACTGGAATCATGTGAAGCACAGTCACCTCCTGGCCTGCACCAGGAGGAGTCAAAGCCCTTCACCTTGCCTGCGGTGTGTCAGGCAGAAGCAGGAAATTCCTCCAGGCAAGTGTTGGGTCCTGACCATGCCAGGGATGGATCACAGCTTCCAGGCACCCCGAATTCCTTGGGACCACCGATCCAGCTTGGAATGGCAGCTCCAGGAATGGCAAATCTTGGGCAAATCCTGCGAGGTTTAGAAAACCTCTGGTTTAGAAAAGCAAAATCCCCGCGTTTTCCTTTTGCAAGAGGTCCTCAAAAACTTCTCGGGAAAGGGAGTGTATTTTATTTGTTTACCATGAGCAGTTCAGCTTTTTATGACCCTGTTGTCATGGGCAGATGCAAGGTGGTGGCAATTACAGCCGCACTGAGGTCTCATGCACAGGAACACGTGCACGCGGGAAAAGAAAGGGAAATAAGGAAAAGTGCAGGGAGGGAGAGTGAGGAAAATGGATCCTGAGCCAGAGCTTCTGCTCACAGCAGCTCGTGGAAGTAAAACAAGTGATGACTGCAGTCCTGCAGGCAAAGTCTGGAGGATTTGACATTCCCTTGGTCCAAGCAGCGGTGGGAATCGCTCTCTGTGCTCATGCAAAGTGCACACGGGGGGTGTGTGCAGGGAAAAAACAGTGGGAGCAAAGAAACTGCACAGGAGAGCACAGACATTTACAGAGGGCACGAAGTGAGGGGGCACAGAGGCCAGGGAGGATGAAAAATGTGTGTATGGGCACGCCAGGAAAATAACACAGTAGAGAATGTGCCAGGCAGTGAAAATCAGGCAGAGTGCAAATGATAAATTAATAAGAAAATCAAGATAGAGCTCATAAAACAAAGCAAACAGAGGGAAGTGTTTAACCTCCGTACCAGTGCAACAATTATTCTAAAGAAAACAGGGAAACACAAAAGCAGCATTACCTGTTACTGCCCATATTCCAGCTGTGCCAAGTTTCAGAGTTGTGTCAGAGTTGTGTGTGACATTCCAGATGCCAGCCCAGTGATACAATAAATCTGCCTTGGCTGCCGTTCCTGCGCTCCTCATCCAGGCCACTGCGGGCTGAAAGACGATCCCCTGGACGTGGGGAAGGCAACGCAGCCGTGTTTGCTCACCCCGTGGGAAGGCTGGCGAGTAAATGACATCATTTTGTACAAAAAAGGGCGCTGTCTTTGAAGGGGTGCTGCCCGTGAGGAGTTGGTTTGCTGAAGGGATCAGCCACGCAGAGTCACACAGAGCCCTCGTGCAAGGAGCCACAGTCTCAAGCTGACCCCAAGATTTGGGCATCTGGGTCCAAGGAATTTCCTCCTCTTTTGTGGCTGGGGCTCTGTCACCCAGCTCACGTTGCCAAGGAGCAGCTGGAGCTCCACGTAGCTGCAATCTGCATGAGGCTGGAAGTGCCTGCTGCTATCTGCCTGTCATGCCAGGTGCAAAAACACCTTCACAAACCAGGCCTTTCATCCAAAGATTTCTCAACTCTTCTCTTCCTTTCCAATAAATCCCACCAGGCTGAAATCAGAGCAGATGTTACACCCTTGTGCTCATCCCTGCCTGTGGATGGGAGCCTGAATTCCCTTTTTTTCTCCAGGAAAAGCCCTCCTGTGCTGAGCAGGCACCAACCTGAGCAGCACACCTTGGGATGTTTGGCACCAGAGCTTCAAAGATCCCTCAGGACGTGGGGCTAGGGATGAATGCCGCTGTTTCTCGCAGGGATGTGGGAACCCTGCAGAGACGAGGTGGGGCGGGCACTGAACTGGCTTTGAACTGAGCCAGCTCTGAGAGCTTTGTCCAGAGCTAAAGAGTTCCTGTGGAAAAACAACACACTTTAAAAAGTTGTTTTGCCTTTACGGCGCGTGAGGGAGAATGCCCAAAGAGGAGGTGGAGCAGCTGCTTCAGCATCAAACACATCCCCACAGGGACTCAGTGATCTTGGAGGTCTTTTCCAACCTTAGTGATTCCGTGGTTCAGTGATTGTTCTGTTGTCTGTGGTGCTTCCAAGAGTACCTGCTTGGTTTAGGTGGAATCATGGAATATCCTGAGCTGGAAGGGACCCACAGGATCATCCAGTTCAGCTCCAGGCCCTGCCCAGACCCCCCAGCACCCCCAGCCTGGGCACCCCTGGAGCGCTGGCCAAAGGCTCCTGCAGCTCTGGCAGCCTCGGGGCCGTGCCCATTCCCTGGGGAGCCTGGGCAGTGCCAGCACCTCTGGGGGAAGAACCTTGCCCTAAATCCAGCCTGAGCCTGGCCTGGCCCAGCTCCAGCCGATCCCTGGGTGCTGTCCCTGTCCCAGAGCAGAGATGGGAGCTGCAGATCCCTGAGCTCTGCCCTCGCTGTGCTCTGCTCCAGCTGGACACTCCAAGTGCCCTCAGCTGCTCCTCCTGTGGCCTCTCCTGACCCTTCAGCATCTCTGGTGATACCTTTAGATCTCATATTTTGGTGTCCCACACCCACAGATGTTCGATCCCCTTGTGCTGTGGGCTGGGGGATCAGCCCTCTCTGGGAGCCGTGGTTCTCCTTGACCTCCAGAGCACGGAGAACCTGCACAGCTCCTGCCACTGTCCCCGCTGTTCCCCTGATAAGGATCACAGCCAGCTTCCCGAGGCCAACCCTCCTGGCACTATCACCAAACTAAAATCACAAAGAAAAACAACAGGGCTGGAGCAGGGCCGGGCGTGCTGCACAAACACGGCTCCCAAAGAAGGAACAAAGGCGTGCACGGGGTCCTAAATGCCAAAGATGGGCTTTGCCTCCTGCGGTTATTTTTTCCCTTTTGTTTCTGACTGCGGGAGCACATTGTTCATGTCACTGTGAGGAGTTCCAGGCAGACATGACGAAAGGGACAAACCAGCCCAAGACAGGAGACATCCCATGCGGCCCTCATGAGTGGCACTGTTTGGAAACAAGGAGTGAGCAAACAGGAAAGGACTTTAACCATTGAGCAGTCGGGATCTCAGCGTGCTCTTGGCACCAGCAGGAACAATGGGGTGATGTCACGAGCCAGAATTCCCCATGGTGGATGGCAGCCCAGCAAATAATCATAATTCTTGTCCCGGGACATGAGCAACATTTTTCCAGCGTTGGTCATCCCCCATGGAGCCGCTGTGAGGAAATGCAGGAAGGAGACATTGTCAAGTGAGGCTTCCTTTGGGATTTTCGCTGCCCCCCCTGCCCTCCCCAGCTCAGCACATCAGCTGTAATAAATCACAGCTCGCTGCTGGCGGGGAGGATCTCAGTGAGGAGCAGGGAGGCTGAAGGAGATGTCTCACACACTGAAAATAGGGTGAGCACCATGGTCTGGATACTTGCAAGGCAAAGGGGCAGAGTTTCCTCAGCTCTGCGAGGCTTTGAGCTGACAAAGAGCGAATCTGGAGCATTGTCCATGGGTTTCCAAAGGTGCTGAGGATGGCCAGGGGCTCAGGAGGGAGTCCTGCACAAACAGTGGCGGCTGGGGAATTTCAACAATTTAAGCCATCTCTGTGGAGAATATCCTGAAGTTCATTTGCAGCATCCAGGCCTCTCCTGAGGCAGCTCTTGAATTCCCTTTTGGCTCCTTTCTCTTGATGGGAACTGGTGCCATGGGAGGACTGGCAGAGCTGGGCCACCCTCAGGGCTTGGGCTGGCTTTGTTCTTGGGCTATTACTGAAAATCCAGACTCACCTCTCCAAGATTTGCTCTGCAAGGTCCCACTTGGTTTCCCTGCAGCCACTCCAGCTGCGGGCTGTCCCTTCTGCGCTGTCCCAGGGGAGGTGGCACTTCTTGCTGGAGCTGAACATGGGATTTCAGCAGCAAAAGTAACCCAGTGAGTCCCAGCCAGTCCCGAAATGCAGCCCTGAGGAGAGAAACACAAAGCCATGAATGTGTGTGTGTGGCTGGCTGACAGATCTGTCCTGCGTTTGTGGCTGCCCGAACACACCCCCAAGGGCTCTTCGTCATGGTCACAGTGGGATCTCCACATGTTTTCCCCCCCTGAAGCTCCCAGGGAATGTCAGGGTCCCTCTCAGAGCTGGGCAGAGGCAGCCTGGCCCCAGGCATTGGCACTGCTGCCTCTGCCCACCCCACAAACACGAGGGGTCTCTGCTGCACCAGTGAAGGTGAAGGTGTCCCCAGGGCAGGAAGTGGGGTCACACAGGGAGAGGAAGATCCTGGGATGTGCTGGCTCCATCCTTCCCAGGGAGGTGGGAAGGGGCAGGTGGCCTTGGCAAGGACCACTTGTGACATCCAGGAAGGTCAGGCTGTGACCTGTCCCCATGGCAGGCCACTGTGCCAAGGACCAGCCTGCTGGAATCAGGCCTGATGAGGAATGATTGCTTGGTACCCTGATGGATTATCCAGTCCTGCTCTCCAGGGATGGATTATCCAGTTCTGTTCCAGATTATCCAGTCCTGCTCTCCAGGGATGGATTATCCAGTTCTGTTCCAGATTATCCAATCCTGCTCTCCAGGGATGGATTATCCAGTCCTGCTCTCCAAGGATGGATTATCCAGTTCTGCTCTCCAGAGATGGATTATCCAGTTCTTTTCTGCAGGGATGGATTATCCAGTCCTGCTCTCCAAGGATGGATTATCCAGTTCTGCTCTCCAGGGATGGATTATCCAGTTCTGCTCTCCAGGGATGGATTATCCAATCCTGCTCTCCAGGGATGGATTATCCAATCCTGCTCTCCAGGGATGGATTATCCAGTTCTGCTCTCCAGAGATGGATTATCCAGTTCTGTTCCAGATCCAATTCTGCTCTCCAGGGATGGATTATCCAGTCCTGCTCTTCAGGCAGAAGAGACCAAGCCAGAGGCGCTGTCCCAAAGGACCTGGGGACACTTTCCTGCCCAAGAATTTGAATTCCAGTGTCCGCCAGTGGCTGTGGGACAGCAAAGTGGAAGCTCAGGAATGGAAACAAATCCTGATCCCTTTCTGCAGGGCTTTGCCCTTTAACTGGAGCTCTCAGAATCCACTGATCAGGGCACATTTGGTGTTCCTGGGATTCTGGTGCTGATGGGATGTCAGGGGGGGAACTCTGGGGCAGGAAGAGAGAGGTGTAATCTGAGAAAGAAAACAAAAGGAATGTCTCCGAGACCTGTGACATGGCCTGAACTGTCTGGCTGCAGATCCTGACCCCACTACACAAATGTCATTAAATTTACACAAAGTGACCAGGCTTTGAGTCAGATAAAAGTGGGGGGAGGCAAGATGTTCCTCTGGGACATGAGGCTGAATTAAATCCAGGGAAGTACTGGATAAACCGGGAATATTGGGAATGTATGGATGCGTGGTCATTCAGCTTCATGCAGGGCTCTCCTGTTCTATTAGAGCTGGATAAAACCTTCAGGAGCAGCCAAACCTGGCCTCTTCTGGCACTG